CTACATTTTAGGTGGGAGTTTTATTCCACCTTGTGCTCTGATATCATATATTTATACCCGTCACTATCAGCTAATCGTTTCCCAGCACCTGCGTCACATTGTAGGAAAAAGTGCCACGGGGCAAGGCGGAGACCACGGGGCAGGGCGGAGACCACGGGGCAGGGCGGAGACCAGTATCTGAATATATGAATGCAAACGACATGATGTAACCAATCTGGTTTAAGCTGACAAAGACTGCCTTAGGGTAGTTATGTTAGGTCTGATTAAGGATAGAATAGTGGAGTGAAGGTCAGTCATGGTGCTAGTTATGATCTGAGACGAGAGAGAAAGAGAGAGGCATCCTTAAAAAAATTAGTTTGTAAAGAAAGGGGAGAGAAGGAGGGAACAGAACTGAAGGAGAGGGTGTTAGGAAAAGGAAGAGAAGGAAAGAGACATCAGAAACAGGAATGGCTAAAACTAATAAAGGGAGGAAGGAGAAAGTTGTAAACCCAAGAGAAGAAAAGAAAGAAGTGAGAGTGAAAAGTGTGTGTGTGAAGAAAAAGCTGTGAAGTAAGGAGAGAGAGAGAGAGAGAGAGAAGGGGACAGGAAGGAAAAGAAGCGACAGAAGATGAGGTGGAAGGAATGGGGAAGGGGAATGATTAGAAATGAGGTAGTGGGGAGGGGGAGGGGAGATGGGTAACGGGAAAGGAAATGGGAAGGAGAGAGGAAGCTGTGGTATGTCTCGGCTCAATGTGATGTTTTTGCCTATTTATCGGTGGAAACGAGCTGTGTCTGACGCTGTGCGGTTATTGGCCTCTGTGACTTTAGAGATGGTGTTGTGTGGGTCATGGTGGTGTTGTGTGGGTCATGGTGGTGTTGTGTGGGTCATGGTGGTGTTGTGTGGGTCATGGTGGTGTTGTGTGGGTCATGGTGTGGTGGCGTGCTGTGTGCATGGTGGTGTTGTGTGGGTGGTGGTGTGTGGTGGGTCATGGTGATGTTGTGTGGGTCGTGGTGGTGTTGTGTGGGTCGTGGTGGTGTTGTGGGTCGTGGTGGTGTGTGTGGGTGGTGTTGTGTGGGTCATGATGGTGGCGTGTGGGTCATGATGATGGCGTGTGGATCATGGTGGTGTTGTGTGGGTCATGGTGGTGTTGTGTGGGTCATGATGGTGTTGTGTGGGTCATGATGGTGGCGTGTGGGTCATGATGATGGCGTGTGGATCATGGTGGTGTTATGTGGGTCATGGTGGTGTTGTGGGTCGTGATGGTGTTGTGTGGGTCATGATGGTGGCGTGTGGTCATGATGGTGGCGTGTGGGTCATGATGGTGTTGTGTGGGTCATGGTGGTGTTGTGTGGGTCATGGTGGTGTGTGGGTCGATGGTGTGTGTGGGTCATGTGGCGTGTGGGCGATGATGGCGTGTGGATCATGGTGGTGTTATGTGGGTCATGGTGGTGTTGTGTGGGTCATGATGGTGTTGTGTGGGTGGTGATGGTGGCGTGTGGATCATGGTGGTGTGTGTGTGGGTTATGGTGGTGTTGTGTGGGTCATGGTGGTGCTGTGTGGGTCATGGTGGTGTTGTGTGGGTGATGATGGTGGCGTGTGGATCATGGTGGTGTTGTGTGGGTCATGGTGGTGCTGGTGGTGCTGTGTGTGATGGTGGTGTGGATCATGGTGGTGTTGTGTGGGTCATGGTGGTATTGTCTGGGTGATGGTGGTGTTGTGTGGGTCGTGGTGGTGTTGTGTGGGTCGTGGTGGTGTTGTGTGGGTCATGTTGTCGTGATCTCAACTTAAATCACTGTCCTTAAATGGATTAAATGAACAAAGTGAAGGATTAAGACCTTTTACGACCGAACACAAAGCGATGACTCACAATCATATTTATACAAGAATAACTCTCAAGTACCATACAAGATAAACTCATTCTTATTTTCTGTAATATATTCCGGTATGTTTATGACCTTCAGTGCCAGGTCATAAACTATATAGGGTCTCCCAGTGGCTCAGGTCAAGGAGGAATTTAAAGGACCCAACTGGAATACAGTATCTGAAGGCTAGTATTGTTGTATCTCTGCACCGTCCAGGTACAGTAGCTAAAACAACTATCTGTGCAGGTGGGGGTAGATATGCTCCGAAATTTTACGTGTGACTCGTGACAGCCCTCATATACCAAAATTTATCGTCCATGGTCTCATGTTGTTTCCCACAAAGTATGCACGGATAGTTGTTTTAGATATTGTACATTGTGAATCTATATATGTACTGTATCTGCACAGTCTATGTACTGTACAGTTAACCTAAGATGCATCGACCTCACCCTGGCTCTCGTACTAGCAATTTTACCTGGCAATACATGGTGGAGTAAGGATGTATGTAATGGGTATTGTGATTGGTGGATTTATTTTCGGCTGTATCACTGTCAGGATAAATAATAAACAATCCAAAGGTAATATTTTTATAATAATAAACTTTTCCTCATTATTTACGATCATGAGAAGTTTCCCAATGTTTGTATATTTGCTTAAATAATGAAGAAAATTTGATGTGATAATCTTGCAGCAGCCCTAGTTGTTGAGTTACCAATTCATTTATATAATTTCTTCATTATTTAAGCAAATATCTGTTGTTCTCATTAATGTGACTCCTAACTGGACCTAACCTAACTTAACCTATTTTCCTAATGGGTGACTATGCTGAGGGAACGAGCTCAGTGGCCTGTGTAGGATACTTCCATCATTCTTGATAATTTTGTCAAGGGCAATTTTGAAGCCCAGTGCTGTAATTTATTCCACAGTTTGGGCTCGTAGACTGTTCCATGACTCTACCAGCCTCTGTATGAATAACTATTTCCTTATATTCGCATTATAACTTGGCGAGCTTGTACTAGTTATGCCCTCTCTTGTTGGTGGTGCGTGATATCACAAACAAATGGTCCGGGTTCACATAAACTAACCTATTCTAACCTGATTGCGACTTCTCAAGATTATGATTTATTAGGACTGGACCGTAACCCGATTAAGTAATGTTAGGTTAAGGTCTATTACAGCTGGGACCTATTGGATCAGGGGTCAATATTAAGATATTTGATAGGAATGACATATATTAAGACTAACAATTAAGACTGACATCAGTTACAACAAAGACCTATTATAGGTGAAGCCTATATGACTTGAATCCATAAAGACTAAGACCTATTAAAGCCGTGGCCTATTGGGGAAGACAAACCAGCCCAAAGACCAAAATATTTCTTATAAGCTTTTGTTTGTCGTGTTTTGTGACAGTGTTAGTTGTTCTCTCGTGTCAATGAGAAACAGGAGTTGGGGCAAGTTTGGGGAATGTGTTGTGACGGGGGTGTTGTTGTGGTGATGGTATTGTGATAGTGGGAGAGGTGGATTTGGTGTGATGGTATTGTGGTGGTGAGGGAGGTAGTATTGGTTGTGGTGTTGTTATTGTGGATGTTGTGGTGGTAGATGGTGGTTGGGGTGGTGTGGTGGTGATGATAGGGAGGTGGTGGTAGAGGTGTCGTATTGATGGTGTGGTGGGGTGGTGTTTTGATGGTGGCAGTGGTGAAGGAGGTTTTGAAATATTGGAGAGGAGGTGGTATTTTTTTGTGGTGGTAAAATTGGGGGTGTTGTGCTGATAGTGGTGGGGTCAGGTGTTGTGATAGGGAGGTATTATGGTGATGGTGGTGTAGTTGTGGTGTTGCTGGGGGAGGTGTTGTGGGGGTGGTGTTGTGGGGGAGGTGTTATGGGGGTGGTGTTGTGGGGGAGGTGTTATGGGGGTGGTGGGGAAGGTGTTGTAGGGATGGTGGAGGAGGTGTTGTGTGGGTTCTGGGGGAGGTGTTGTGGTGGTGGTGTGATGGAGGTGTTGTGGTTATGGTGGAGATATGTTGTATCCAGTCCATATAATGAGCTGCCTATAAACAATATTAAATGCAGCTTTGAATAACTGTACCAAACATCAGGTGATCAGGACCTGTCCAGCCTCACTGCATGATAACAATTAGAAAGCCAATAATATAAAGAAATTTTAAAATAATAATATCGCCAACATCATAAACAACAACAACATTATTTCTCATCCCTTCCTCTTCTACAACACACATTCAATATATTTCTCCCTCTCTCATTCTCATCATTATTCCCATCTCCCTCACTCACCCTATATATCATCCACACCTCTCTTCCTGCTTTGCTAAAAATCTGTTATTCTCTTAAGATACTATAATTATGGGTAATAAGGGGAAGAGAGGAGCAATTATCTTATAATTCTCCTGTTTCACCTTCCTCCTGTCCCATTCCTCTCCCCTTCCACTTTTACTACCTTCCTTAATGACCATCATCAGGGTTCTCTTTTGATTTTGTTTTTTTACTAATTATTCCTAAGTACCCCCTTCGTGGGACCTCTTTCCTTATTTTTTTTTCGGATGGTGGGGGGGGGCGGGGTGGTGGTGGTTGTTTTTCCCTTTTTTTCCAGAACTAGATACTGTATTGAGTATAACCCACAGTGTATTGGTGGTATGTTTATCATTATTAATCATTGTCATCATCATCATTACAGTAGAGTACTGTATTTTCTTTGTCTGCAACACCTTTGACATCTTCATCATCGTCACTATCAGCATCAACATCATCAATTTTGTTCTTTTGGAGAGGTTCGGGGATCGAAGATTCCGGCTAATGGAGTGATTACACTTGTACTTTAGTATTTATACTGTACTGTATATGAATCCTTGGCTTTTCTTTATTTAATATCTGTACACAACATTTTTTTCATCTATTGAAGCTGTGTACCTGCTCTGCCCTAGTATACTGTACCTGTTACTTGGTCCGCACAAAGATTGTTTCTGGCCTCAGACTCGTACCATCATCATAGAAAAGTTCACTAAATAACGCCTTCCTGAAAATCTTGTATTCTCCTTTAAAAATATCATCATATTTTTATTTGTATTGGTTCTATATAAAAAGGAAAAAATCAACATAGGTCCCAATAAGTCACAATATTCAGGAGATTGAAACACATCCTGTATACTGCACAATAGTGAAAATATATTGCCTCCGTACAAAACAAATTCAATCTGTATAAAATGTCTGCATATAATTAACAGTACCAAGTACAGTATACCTGTATCGGACCTCAAGAAATTATTAGTGAGAGATACTGTATACCTGTACAACTCTCCTTTATTAACAACAAGACTTTTAAATTCTGTACAGTAGCTATATCCTTTTCACAAAAGCAATAAATAACATATAAACCTGCACTTCAGATTTACAAACGCACACAAAGTGCAATTCATAAATTACAGTAGAAGCGTTACATATCACACTAGACACAAACTATGGCCAGTGAACAATTCCTGTAATATGTAAATGACTTGTAAATAAAAAATGTGAGTAGAGTGAGTGTTTACCTCTACTTTAATTCAGTTTAAAACTTGTAACTTCTGTTAACAATGAGAATTATTATCTTATTTTTGGTTAATCCATAACCGAATATTCTAGGACAGAGAAGTTTGTGTGAAGGTTTATCTGATACTATACAGTACTGTACTAATGTACAGTATTGGTTAGGGGTATACAGTATACATACTGTACAGTACTGTACTAATGTACAGTATTGGTTAGGGGTATACAGTACACATACTATACAGTACTGTACTAATGTACAGTATTGGTTAGGGGTATACAGTACACATACTGTACAGTATTGTACTTTGATGTCAGCTCCATGATTTCTTCTCTGTAGACATACTGAAGACCCCAACACTTTTGAGATGATAAATTCTCCTCACATCACATTTACGTACAATACTTTCTGTATGAGCTGTACAGTATTACCATTGTGCTTCAACCTCACTTATCCTCACAGCATCTCATTAATTCATCTGTCCCAACTTTAGAATGCTGAAGTTTTACATACCCTAAAGTTCAATAATTAGTAAAGTACATGAAGGCACAAACATTATCTAGACTCTAGAGAGTGAGTGGACATTAGAATTTGTGAACTACAGTATACACATGGATTAACACTGCTCTTCCGACTCATTCTTATGTTTATATACAGACACATCACTTTTTCTTATTTTGACAATGTAATTAAAACATTAATCTTTACAGTGTGCAAATGTTCAAAGTGGTTGAGTGCCCAAGGTGTTGAGATTAATCAATGCACGTTGCTCTGGGTACCTGACTAAGAAGACCTAAACTACACTATGACCCTGTGTATATATATATATATATATATATATATATATATATATATATATATATATATATATATATATATATATATATATATATATATATATATATATATATATATATATATATATATATATATAATCAAAGTAATGTAGACCATCTACATATGGTTCATATACTGTTTTGTACAGTGTATGAACTGTTCTTACATCACTTTATGGACTGTATGAACTTTAAATTTGTACATTACACCAGGGTCACAGTGTAGCTCCAGTCCCAAGTTTCACTCATTGGCTGTCCTGTAGCATAATACTGCACTGTGCCATAATACTGCACTGTGCCATAATACTGTACTGTACCATAATACTGCACTGTGCCATAATACTGCACTGTGCCATAATACTGCACTGTGCCATAATACAGTACTGTACCATAATACTGCACTGTGCCATAATACTGCACTGTGCCATAATACAGTACTGTACCATAATACTGCACTGTGCCATAATAATGCACTGTGCCATAATACTGCACTGTACCATAATACTGTACAGTGTACTGCACTGTGCCATAATACTGCACTGTATACACACATTTAAACAAACTAAACTCACTATACTTAGCCTAAACATCTCCTCCAACACCACCTCTTATTTAGTAGTATTTATGTCACTACTGTATTGTAAGTCTTCCATTAGAGACTGAAGAGTTCATTCTGTAGCTCCATACAGCATAATATGTTGAACCTTAATTCCCAAAGCAGTTACTGATATTAAAGTGTGCTTCATAGTTACCAATAATTTGTTATCATGAAGTCCAAATAATTTTCCTCCAACTGATTGTACAACATTTGAAAATTTATATGATTTCCCCAACAGGCCGAGAAATATAACATTTTTTTTTATGCTCTGGTCTTTGGCTGAAGGATATCTCTAAGTCCCTATAATATAAGCATCCTTTAGTAGACTTGTGATAAAAAACTAATTACATAAAACTAAATAAATAAAATATAAAGATGGAAGCAAATGAAAAGGGATCTCATAGGTCTGGCGACTTATTAGGGTCAGTGCAGATAAATTACACTTAATAATAAGTCTCGGTACACAAAGTGGCACTGTACTTGACAGCCTGCACTTCCCAAACAGAAAAGTCTGGTATCCAGTCACAGTAAATTTGATTGGGAAAACTTAGGACATGTGGTGAGCATTACTAAAAGCAAAAACAACGATGCATTAATTTTCAAGTCTGAAAACCCCCCAAAAAATATTTTGCAAGAGCCATTGTATATTATCTCGAACAAAAAATTAATAAAAAAAATCCAATCTCTGTACAATTAACATTTATAAAAAGCAATTTGTCCAGAAATTATTGCATTGCATTATGAAAAAAAGTAAATGCTTAAATTGGCATTTAAAAATCTTATTTTGTCCCTGAATTCACAATACATGACAGGTAGAGTACTGTACTGTATTTTTAGAAACGACAGCATATCAGTTATGCACCATACACCTGTAAAGGCACTACAATAATGCTCACAATTTACTCCACTACCAATCTATCAGCTCAAAACTAAACTACTTAGCAATGTATTTTTAAACATACAGTATATTACATTTATGTGATTTAACAACGACATGTTTCACATGTGACATATATGTAATTTACCTTTCTTATGTCCCTTATGGACTTCAAAAGCACATACGGTATCCATCTTTAGCTCTGAATGCCTACTTTTCCTAAAATAACCTTTTCAACATGTCCTACTTAATAATTGACAGTATACTCTACAACAATCTTCACTCAAACTATTATTCACATTATATATAGAAAATAGGGTTATACAATTTAAGAAGCATATACAGTAATTTGATATTTCTTTGCTAGTAGAGCTTTCCTGCAAAGTTCAATGACATGCACTGAGGCTACAGTATACAAGGTAATTACTTATTGTGCATTGAATTGTGAGTCTGTTCTCTAAAGTAAAGTCTACCTTAGTCCTGCTAAGCATTTCCCAAGCAGTATGTGGAGTGAATGGGCATTTATATATTGTGTTGCTCCCCAGTACACTTACTGTAAAATATCTATTGGGCAGGATCATCAAATTGACCATACATATTGTCAATTTCAAGCTGAAATCTGGCTTTAATAGGAGCCCTCTTGATCTTAAGTGCTGCTGTGACTAATCCTGATTCAGGAGTCCAGGGTTCAGGAGTCAGGAAAATGGCTGCTGGCAGGTCCCATCGTCCAAGTCCTTGCTTCTTCCCATGTGCAAGGAGCTCATCAAGGACAGCCTTTTTAACTTTCATATCACTACAAAGATCCTGCATAGTTGCATCTTCCATATGGCCTAACTTTACTCCAATTTTAATCAAGCTATCAGAGAAAGGAACAATAATGGCAACTACATGCTTGGCTCCTGAATATGCACAAACGCAAATGCTTTCTATAAGAGAATGAGTTTTAAGTTTACTCTCAATATTGCCCAAAGACACATATTCACCATTATTCAGCTTTAAGAGATCTACCTTTCGGTCAATAACATGGAGAATGCCAGTTTCATCAACCTCACCAATGTCGCCAGTTTTAAACCACCTAACTCCATCCTTCTCGAAAAATACTTCTTCAGTTTTCTCTGAATTACGAAAGTATCCTCTGGACACCATGGGTCCACCCACAACAATTTCACCCCGAGAATTGGGCTTATCAGTAGTGAGATATCCACCTTCTTCCCAATCTCTTAATGAGAGAAGTACACCATAATTTGGAGGCCCACAGTGTCCAGTGCGTATGTCATCTGTGTCCATACTGCTGATACAAGCTGCAGTCTCTGTTGCTCCATAACCAACTTGAACAGTGCAACCAAATAATGCCCGAATCTTATTTTGAATTTCTGGGGATACTGGTGCCCCACCCACTACCAACATTCTTAACTCTCCTCCAAGTTCCTCCTTTACCCTCTTAAATACCAGTGCATCCAAAACTTTTACAGCAAGAGATGGGCCAACTTTTCTTTGTTTATATTTAAGTGCTTCACTAAAAATCTTTGCTTTCAAATGACCCTGGTCCTCAATTACTCTGTATACTCCCTTAATGATTCTCTCTAAGATGAGTGGCACAGCACTCATACATGTGGGTCTTGCTACTCTGGCATCACCTGATGTGCCTTTGAAGATTTTAGCACTACTATTTGTTAGTGTGAATGGAGAAGAATAAGCTATGGTGACATTCATGGCCATTAATGCAGTCTCTGTAGCGAGTTCCATTACATGTGCCAAGGGAAGATATGCAAGATAACGATCCCCTAATCTTAAGTCAGCCTGAACACAGTAAGCTGTTATGGAGGAAAAAATATTGGCATGAGTAAGTTCTACTCCCTTAGGATGGCTTGTTGAGCCACTAGTATACATAATAATGGCTATATCATCAGCCTTTGGTGATACTAATGGCATAGATGCTTCCAGTTTCAATACCTCCTGAAAAGGAAGTATAGTGACTTGTTCTGGAACATCTTGCACAGATCCAATTCCATCAAGCTGATCTTCAATAACAATAACACGAGTAATCAAGGCACACTCCTGAATCAGTTTAATTACACGAGGTAATAAATCATAAGAAGTAATGAGTGTGTTAACCTCTGTTTCCTTAAGACTCTGGACAATGCTCTCATTGGGCAAGTTTGTGTAAAGTGTCACCACACTCAAACTGCTGCGTAAACAGCCCACAGCAGCCACATACCATTCAGCTCGAGTTTCAGCAAACATAGCTATGCGATCACCACTACTCATTCCCAAGTTTCTTATCCCATCACTGAACTTCACAACCATTTCTTGGACTTCTTTATATGACAAATATACATAGTCCAGAAAATGCAATTTTTCCAGCTTTTTGCCATTTTCCAAGATCCGCAACCGTGCCTTAAGTTTCCTGGTACCCATGCAAGGTGCTTCCCCATGGCTGTTAGCAGCATATTCAAGAATAGCTGGCACAGTGATGGCATTCACTTTCTTGAGGTCTTCCAAGAGAGTAAAACCATGTTTGTGGCCTCCATCCCCCTTGATCCAGTACCCATCATCATTAAGGACTCCTCCTTTCTCCACTCCCATGTTGACCTGCCGTACAAAGATTGTTAGCATGATAAATGATTCTGACATTTACACTATAACATTTACACACACTATTTTGTTTACTGTAAATAATATTCTTAATATTTAATGGCTATTAAATTATATGAAATTTTTAATTAAAAAAATACAGTACACCACTGTACATTATTGTACTGTACTGTACTGTACTGCAGTTGAATACAGTATGTCATAAGGTACCTGCTGCAGTATTCAATCGTCTTATTTTTTTAATACTGTACAGTACTGTATATAAAAAAAACACCAAGCTGAAAAAAAATAGAATACAGTACAGTGTATAATTATCATATGATATAAATACAGGAGTATAAACATTTTCTTTAATGTATCTATTAATACTCACCAATTTATGTTCACTTAATTTCTACAAAATGGAGTTTTCTTGTAAATCCTCAGCTGAGAGATGTACAGTACAGTACTGTACACAGCAAATACACACCTGTAAAACACACAGCAATTACTAGGATGATAATATAGGGAGAAAAATTATCTATATTGAAGAAAATTTATATACTGTAATATATAAACTCATAGTGTATCAGTGTCGATATACAGCACATGTGATGCCTTTCAGCAATTCGTAACAGAGTGAGTAAGCAGAAAATAAATAGTCTTGGGAGATTTTTGTCTGCTTGAGGGGAAAAAGAATTACCTGTACTGCACATAACTGGAATTCTCACAAAACAAGATTGACTACTCATTAATTAATCCAGCTTAACCCCTTGAATATGATGACATAACCCCTCAAGTCTATGATGCTCAAGGGGTTAAATCATTTTATTTAAGGTGTTGTCATCGTACTCACACTCAAGAGGTTAAACACTGTACTTAGGGGGTTGTCATTGTTCTCAAGGGATTAAAACATCATACTCGAGGGGTTGTCATCATACTCAAGGATTTAAATCATCATACTCGTGGGGTTGTCATCATACTCAATGGGTGGCTCATGTTAGTTATCAATATACAAAAGATCTTATATCCCTTGGAAAAATACAATCCAAACAGATGAATTTGGGGTTAATAGTGACAACTAACCCGCAAGCTAGTTATTTGTTTGACTATTTATTACCTTACTTTTTATTTGCATTAGTAAGTTCTGCTATGATAATCATTTCTTGTGCAAATGCTTTGTTTTGTAAATAATTAAGTGCCTAAGCGGTCACTAGTTTGTCTTCCTGGCGGTAATGAGGCCGTGCGGCAAAGAAAGGAGTCCTCTCTTCCCCGCGGCAGTTTCATTTTCAGCTTGACGTATGAAGGATGTCACCAGTCTTATATGGATGTAATTTCCGAATTTTGGGATAAAGACAACGAGACCCTTCATTTTTTCAAAGACCTCGGCATCGTTCCTTTAAGTAGAAAGATTTTCACAGCAATACCGTACTGTGAAATAGAACTGGATCTGTGTGCCAAGTAAGTTGTTGATTGGAAACAATCATTCATCACTTCCTCAATGCCGTGGCTCGCCATTTCCCACCATCTCAATAGCAAATCACTCCGCCGCCCGGACTGCATAAGCGCTGATGCTGCGGGCTGGTCTCACGTATAGAAAAAACCTTAAATTACACCATATCATAGTAAGTTCTTTCTGTTTAATATACTGGGGGGTCCGGGGGTCAGAGCCCCCGGTAAGGAAGTTAGATAAGGTTAGGTGGTTTGTTTGGCTAGGTCTGTTTTTCATACCCACTAAAGTTAGGTGTTAGGGTGCCAACCCGGGGGATAATTAAAGGCAAGGCGTCTGAGCTGGAACTAACTCCCGTCCGCTGGCGGACTGATACATTTTTGCCAAACCAGCACATACCCCAACACCACCAATCGATTGCAAAGAACCCGCCCAAAACCCAGCAAAATGATACACAAGTGACAAAGTTGCAAACTGAATAATATACAAATTGAGTGAAGGTTCTTTTCAATATACAACTGATATAGTCTAGAAATAGATCCATTATGGCAAAATGTTAACACATAAGGGATATATGGTGGCAGTCCTCGTCTAAGAGACATATTCCTGAAGGTGCTTGGGAGCGCACCTTATCTGCACGGGCCTCTCGGCAGGTGGTGTGGGTGCTGTTGTGACATCAGGGGTGGCTTCGGTGGGCCTCGTCATCCCCTTGTTGGACTTGTCAGGCTCGCCGCTCAGTGTAGGGTACCTGGAGAGGGTGTCAGCTGCACAGTTGTCTTTTCCTTGCAGGTACTTGATGCAAAATGAATACATCAGTGTCTTTTCTTTCAGGTTAATTATCCATGGGTTGCCAATGTCCTTGAGCTCCTTGTTTTTCAAGATCTTCGTCAGCGACCGATAGTCAGTGGCCAAGGTGAGGTCTGGGCACCTGAGCGTCTGGTGAACGTGTCTTGGGCCGTACAGTGGCCCATCGGGGGTGCGCTTGTAGCGGAATCGGCCCCGGGGGTAATGAACATTGTGAGTCTCTTGCTTTCATCATCAAGTGGGATCTGGTGGTACCCTGAGTATGCACCCATCACCGTCTTGAATGTGTGCTTCGGGACGCTCGAGATCATGTCAAAGGGAGGGCGGGTGTGGTGATGAAAGTCTACTGTCCTGCGCGACTGCCCGTCCTTTTTGGGCACGACCATCATGTGAGGGCACCATTCTGTCGGCTCTCCAACGGGCACAGGCTCGATGATGCCCCTCTTCACATCTTCCTCAAACTGCTGACGAACCATGCTGTAGAAATGGTGGTGTATTGTTGTGGGCGTGTGCACCACGTATGGTTTAGCGTCCGGGAGCAGGTGAATGTGATGGGGAGGCCTGGGCACACGAGCAGGAACAGGTGGGCCTTCTTCAGGCACCAAGCAATGGCTAGTGCCTTGCCCTCCAGAGTGAAGTAGTTTTACTCAGCAGGGGGTGTGGTTCACCGCGAATACCGTACACCCGAAGTGCTCAATGAACCACTTCTCCAGCCTCTCCACATTCTCTTCCTTCAACTCGCATGGGGGCGTCGAGGATCAGGCAGGGGGCTTGGCTCCTCTTTGATGAGCCCTGTGGCACCATCTACTGTGGGTGCATTGGGGAAGTCGCACAGAACCAAGCCAAGCCCTCTGCACACAGACAAAGACAGGTACAGAGACTAGACGCCTTCAGCGAAATACAGGTGCGTCCCGGTTGTGGCATGTCCCATGGTGACTTGGCACTCCTTGCTCCCGAGTATGTTCACGCCCCCTCCGGCGATGTGGTTCACTGCAATGTGGGCTACTTCGTCAGGCCCGTGACCACAGCCGCACTCGAGGTGTTTGTGTGGGCACTGGGATGTACTGGTGACTTGTAGATGCGCGCAAGGTGTCCCTCCAGGCCGCACTTGTAACAGGTTAAGTGCAGCGCTGGACACTTCTGGTTGCCAACACAATTGCCGTGCCCACACATTTGGCAATGTTGCTGAGGTCAGATGTGAGGGGTACCGGTGTTGCTAGGCGACAGCGGCTCTGGTTTAAAATAGCTGGTTCCAGCGCCCGCCACGGGTTCCAGCGCCTGCCACGGGTTCCAGCGCCTGCCACAACTCCTGCACACGACATGGAAGCGGTTCTCTCTGCTGACTCATACAATCACATGCACTAATAACGTCGCCCACATCTTTCAAAAGTGGGAGCCTGCACAACACCCCACCTTTTATACTGGGGTAAGCGAGCTCCATCACTAGTTTCTTCGCTAGCATGTAGTCATCCAAGCTAGACCCACATGAGGGGCACTGAAACTTGCTCTCTGCGGCCTTCGACCTGCACCTCACCACATACCTGGTCACGTTGTCTCCAGGTTCTTGTGTGTATGCAAAAAAGTCTGCCCACGCACCCACAATGCACTCTGGGCCTACCACAACACTTTCCACACCCCTTATAGCTTCCTCCACCGTCATGTTATCATAGACACAATTTTTCACCCGCGTGTCTATGAACTGCTGCACCTTCGTGTTGCACAGAAGGCGGACATAGCCTGCTGCCAGAGCCTGTGGCCAGTTGCATCCGTATCTGTAGGTAGCGACATTGAATGCCCTTGCCCTGAATTTGGTGGGAGACATGCCCATGGATGCTTTGCCCAGAGCCATCGGCGGGGCAGGTGGGCGCATTGCTGGCTGGGTCTGTTGTGGGGGCATAGGGCACAGAAGGCCGGCTCCCACACAGTGTGAATCGCGGTTGCTCTGTGGCGATGGTACTGGGCCAGCGTTGACGACCACGTGTGAACTGTGTTCCTCGCAGCTCTTCCGGCCAGGAAACGCCACTGTGGACGTTAGCGACATTGCTTCCGGGCCACCCATAGAAGTACACTGCACCATGTTAGGGTGCCAACCCGGGAGACAATGAAAGGCCGCGTCCATAGTCCGTATATTATTTGTAATTCGTAACCCATTCCCCAAATATGTAACTGTATATTTTCAGCCTTCTGGCTGCCAAGCTCTTTCAATAAACCGTTAATTATTATTATTATTATTATTATTATTATTATTATTATTATTATTATTATTATTATTATTTATTAGCGAAGGTGAAAAGAGGGACAGACATGTCCATACAACGAGGCTTCTGAGCCGGACATACCCCAGCATTACGTTATGTTTATTTTAGAAGCAAACATTTTTTCACATATTTGCACAAACTACAAGTGTCCAGTATAAAAGAAAAAAACAACAGTGAAATTGTGGAGTTTTTAAAATCGTTTAGTCGGGTTAGTCATCAATAATTACCGAACTTGGACTAACAGCTTCATCCCCACCAGTAATGTAGTCGAAATCAAGGATTAGTGAAGGTTAGGGTTCTCAAGTTAGGTCACTCAGAGAACGAAACCTACATCACTGGGTTGGAATGGGGAAAAAGGGTGAAGCAGTCAGAGAGTTAATTAAAACTCCCCAATGTAATTATATGTTCAAGATGACAATAAGAAATCTATGTTGATTCTAAATAGAAAAAAAATGAAATGAAACATGACAGCTGTTAAAGATGTTGCCAGTAATTAAGTGAGCAGGTGTTGTACAAGTCGTGTATCCGAAAATAGAAGTGTTGCCACCTCTTAATAGTCTGAACATACTTGTGTACCAAGAAAAAACAAGTCTTTAGTTTTGCATCAGTTTTCATTAGGTATATACAGTACATAATGGTATCTGTGTTTGATGATGATATGGAGGGAAGAGAGCCGTTTGCTCTCAAGATGGAAGACGGTATAGGAAGAAGGTAAAGTTATGAAGTGGGAAATAAAGTGGACGATTTGATAGCAAGTGGGCTATCCACCTTACGGGGTTTTAGGTTTGTTGATTACCGTATGTAGTATTGTTCCTGAAATGCTAAGTTAAAATCAAGTGAAACCATAAAAAGCACTTACAATATGCGTTTTAATTGTCCATGAGTATGTTATGTTTGGGTGAGGTAAGTCAAGCTTCCTTTCATATCTGATTAAAGTGGTGAAGTTTACAGAATGGCAAAACACTGTACAAAAGATGA